CCTAACTAACCAACTACCCTAACTAACTAACTAACCTTAACTCCCTAACTAACCCTAACTAACCCTAACTAACCCTAACTAACCTAACTAACCCTAACTAACCCTAACTAAACCCTAACTAACCCTAACTAACCCTAACTAACCCTAACTACCCCTAACCTAACCTAACCCTAACTAACCTAACCCTAACTAACCCTAACTAACCAACTAACCCTAACTAACCCTACTAACCTACTAACCCTAACCCTAACTAACCCTAACTAACCCTAACTAACCCTAACTAACCCTAACCCTAACTAACCCTAACTAACCCTAACTAACCCTAACTAACCCTAACTAACCCTAACTAACCCTAACCCTAACTAACGCTACCCTTCTTTATCTTCAGCTTGATTGCTTTCAGGCGTCGTCAAATCTGTAGGCCGTTGTGATTTGAATGAGCAGTATCTCGATACGGTGGCAGTGGCGTGCAAATACCTGTTGTTGTATGCCCTATTCTTTACAGAATCGCTGAATCATTTGGTGCAAAATGACTGCCCGTTTGTTGCATGATTTGGAGTAGATTCCTTGCATAGTTGATGCATGATTTCGAGCAGAATCGCTGCAGCCTTGGTGCATGAATCGCTGCAGCCTTGGTTCTTGATTTAGTGTTGGCGGAGGTGTCAATTTCGTGCATGTGGAGGTGCTAGATTTGTTGCCGGTAGAGGTAAGGGCTGTGGAGCTGCGGGCTGTGGAGCTGCTGGCTGTGGAGGTGCGCACTGTAGCCCAGAGGGTACTGAAGCCTTGCGAATTTGTATGTGTTGTGCGCGCAATCTTGCGTTGGGTCCGAACGCAATGCATCCATACAGGTAGAACAACCACCTCACAACGCTTGTTCTAGGAGGCAAAAGCAAGTCAACCTTACGTCCCCTATATATCAAAGGAGAAGTGCCTGAAGGGGACTGTACGGCACGTAAAACTGCATACTATAGGGGTCTCCCTGTTTTTGATGATAGGGGGCTGACCTTAATCCTGAGTTCACCCCATCAGAAATGGTTATAATGGGTATAATTGCTGCAAAATCTCTCCAGATTTGTTGCAGATTTGGTGGTGATGCAGGCACACAATTCACTGCAGAGGGTGGTGCTGGATTTGGTGGTGAATGCTTAGTGGCAGACATTCATGTTGGAGAGCAAATGGTGGGGGTGGTATTGAAATGGGCTTACGCTCGGTTGCAGATTTGCATGTTCGAGAATTTGTACGGAGGGAGTTGCGGAAGGGGTTGCGGAAGTGTGTGGTCAACCGGATTTGTATATGCAGTAGGTGAATTTCAATGGTTTGCACATCTGTAACAAAGATGCCATGATGGGGCATGACTGTGACTTCCATCATGTAGAAAAATAAAAAATAGAAACGCACGAGTTATGATAGGACTTGTTCGAGAGGAAGATAGAGTTTGTTTGTTTGATTGTTTTTGTAGTCTAGGAACTTAATAATTTTAAGGGGTCTTCTCGCTAGTAAAGATCCACTGATGATGGGAGGCCAACCTGGAGCTACACCGGTTCTTTATAGAAGTCCGGTACCCTTATTCAGGTTTTTCGTTCTGACTGGCAATCTGCCTGTCAATAGTCGGGTGCACAGCGACTATTTCCTACGGAGCGGAGTTAGGAGTGTTGCTACCACACTTCGGAGCATCTGCTATCCGAGTCAAATCTAGCAATCTCTGCCAGGAGCTGGTCGCCTCCTAAAAACTAACGGAAACAACCAACCAAACAACAAATGCTTATTCAATTGATTTGGGTGTTTATAAAGCGAAGTTGTGCTTTAGTAGCTTGGGTCACACTCTCACTCCCCAAAGGTGCAGCGGGGTCAAATAGAAGGGTTCCGGCGGTTTGACGCTCCAGGCGTTATTTTTGGCGACCAAAACATACTTTTTTTCCAACGTTTTCACAACTCCGCAAATGCTTCTCAAACAGATCGAGATACCGACCGGATCACCTCCGTCATATTAGAGCATATCCTCCGGGCCTTAGCTTGCACCTGTAGGTTTGACTTGTAAGATTCCTTACTCGCTAAAATCCCTACCTTCCATACCAACAGAGGTAGGGGCTCACCTGCCCTTGCTTTCATCCGTCGATGAAGAACAAGCTGCGGTTACCGTAAGGTCTTTTTAGCTTAACTGGTAGAACAGGTACTTTTGTAACAGCTTTATAGCGGCCCTGTTACAACACCCAAGCTTGTCTGTAGTCCGAATCCAATTCATACATGCAGATAGGTATTATATGGTCATTCTAGCACCTGTGGTATTACCAAACTTGAATCAGGTGTTGTACGCTCGATGCACCACCTGGAGCAGTTCCCAATTAGATACTGTACCATGGTTCTAGTACTGGTAGCATTGTTCAGATCGCAACTATATGGTGGTTACAGAACTTGAAAATACACAATTTGTGTCACTGCTAACCTCAACATTGAGCTCACTTCCCTAAATTTGCAGAGACACACTTGTCAAATGAGTCCTGTACGGGGCGATTTTGCAGAGGCAGAGTTGTCAAATACCTCCCGTATGGGAGCATTTTGCAGAGTCAACTGCGTGCACCTGGCTCTCGTACGGGGCAATTTTGCAGAGGCAGAGTTGTCAAATACCTCCCGTACGAGAGGATTATGTAGAGGTAGAGTTGTCAAATACCTCCTGTACGAGAGGACTTTGTAGAGGTAGAGTTGTAAAATACCTCCCGTACGGGAGGATTTTGCAGAGTCAACTGCGTGCACCTGGCTCTCGTACTGGGTATGCACATGGGTATGCACCTGGCTCTCGTACGGGGCCATTTTGCAGAGTCAGAGTTGTGAAATACCTCCCTCATGGGGCGACTGACTGGTCAATGCGACTGACTGGTCAATGCGTTGACACCCCTCTGTCCTACGCCACTTTTGCTAAACCAATCATCATCGGTCTCCTCCACACGCTACAATTTGCAAAAAGCTCGCTATCAGTTTCTACTGTATGGGGCTTCTAGAACAAACGCCGCCCTGAACCGATCCCATACGGGCTGTTGGCGGAGCAAAGCTCTTACAATCTCTACCGTATGCCATCTTTAGCATGGTCAGTTTCATTGAGTACCTCCTGTATGCCGCCTTCAGCAGAGACGGTGGCCTGGACACTTCACTGTACGGTACTTTGTAGATATGTAGTGGAATTGAGTTCCTCCCATACGCCGCCCTTAGCAGAGGTTGTACCTTGAGAATCTCCCCGTGCAGGATCTTTTGGCAGAGGTAGTGCCTTGGGAATGTTCCCGTACACTACCTTTTACCACAGTCAGCGCTATCGAATACCTCCCATACGGGATTTTCAGCAGAACCAGTGCCTTCGGATACCTCCCGTACCTTCGGATACCTCCCGTACGAGACCTTTTGGCAGAAACAGTGCCATCGCATGCCTCCCATACGGGACTTATTAGCCGGATCAGTGTCATTGGATACCCCCCGTACGTCATGCCTTTTACGATTGTTTGAGATTTGACCATTTTAGGCCTAAAATCTAGCCTTAAGCCGAACCCCACACCACCAAGAACGGGTATAATCCAAAACTGCAGAGCATCTTCGGGCACTGTTCTTTTGCCCAAAGATGGACAATGATATGGGAGAATACGTGCGGAGTTGCGATAAATGTCAAAGCAATAAAAGCTCCAGTCATAGGTACAGGATGCTACAACAATTAAAAATCCCCAACACTCCTTCCAGCTCCATCTCGATAGACTTTGTCGTCAGTATGTCAGAATCTGGAGCCTATACCCTTATCGGGGTTATTGTTGAACGCTTTACAAAAATCACCTACTTCATACCGCTCAAGACCGAGGCAACAATCAAGGAACTTTCGCATATATTCCTTCAAGAAATATGGCGACTACATGGACTGTCCGAAGTAATCATTTCTTATCGGGACTTCAGATTCAAAAGCAAGTTCTGGCATTCATTGATCACGCTTCTCGGAGTCAACCTTTGTCTGTCTACGGCATATCGTCCTCAAGCTGACAGGTGAACTGAGAGGGTCAATCAAATGCTAGAGCAATATTTCAGAAACTTTTGGTCCTACCAGTAGGACAATTGGGCAGGGTTACTGCCGCTTGCACAGTACGCCTACAAAACGGCAACCCAATAGTCCACTAAAGTATCTCAGTTCTACGCGAACTATGGGTTCGAGCCTGATTCCGATTGGCATTCGCGCAGAAGGAAGCTGGGCAATGCCAATGTTTCCAGTGCCGTACTAAAGTTCAAGTGGAAAGCTCTTTGGAAAACTAAGAGGACTGATATTTTTAAGGCACAGGCCCGGCAGAAGAAATGGTATGACCAGAAGCATATAAAAGCTCCAAAACCTAAAGATGTGGATAAGGTTATGATGGACCGACGCAATATGGTTGCCGATCAACCCTCATGCAAACTTGACTACAAGAAACTAGGTCTCTTTGAGGTAGATGAGAAACTTGTTGCGTTCTACTGGCGGAAGCTTCGCTCTCAATGGAACATTCATGACGTCTTCCAAATATTTCTGCTGGAGTCCTATTGGGGAGTGAAATACCCTCAACGCACTGAAGTCCCTCCTACTACAGATGAGGTCGAAGGAGAATACAATCACGTTCTGCAAGAAATAGCTAATAGCCGATGGCAATAGGCTGGGCATTAGAAGATATTTGTATAGTTACGCATTGTTTGGGAGGGCTATCATTCGGAAGACTCCTGGGAACCAGACGAAATTCTGCAAGGAAGAGCCGATGAGGCCCTGAAAGAATTTCATCAAAAATACCCGCAAAAACATCGGAAAATACGGTGAAACTCTAGGGATCCTCAAAACACGGCGTGAGTAGCTCTGTATCCCAGAAGAACTCCGGGAACAAAAATCAATTCTCCTATACCAGGTTTTTCATCGGTCTGACAGAGCTCGGATACCATCTTTCCCTGGAAACAATGCAAGAAACGATAGAAAACCGAAGCATGAGGAAACCCACGTAAAAAAGGCAAGGGAAAAAAAGAGATTCTTGCTAAAATCGAAACCTCCACTAGTGGAACGGAAGGTTCTACGACAAGAGTGGAGAATATGTCATTTTCTTTGTTTTTAAAAGGCATTTCATTTTAGAGTTTTCTTTCTCTCATGGAGATAGAAACAGAGATATAGTTTGTACGTAATCACCAATAGAGCTACAGTTTTTCTTCTATGGCAAATACTAATATTCCAGTAACACTACAGTGGACTCAAAACGAGTCTACCATAGAGGGGAGTAATGTAAGAAGGCCACTAGCAGGCTGCTACAAAAGAACCTATTCCATCAGTTAAGCCACCGACTCTAAGTAAAAGCAGCTTGTTCTTCATCGACACGTGAAGACAAGGGCAGTTAGGCTCCTACCTTTAGTGGTATAGAGGACAGTGATCTCAAGGAGTAAGAAGTCTTACAAGTCAAAAATAGGGGGCTGAGCAAGCCTGGAACAGAAGTACAAAGATGGCTGATAGCACAGGGAACACAGGACGGGAGTTCACTACCTAGGCAGTCGAATCTTTGAGGTTTCATATCTCTGCAACCGACGCTCAAAGATGATGCTTTAGCACTACAGACATGATTCTGGCGGTGTCCCGGAGCTAATGGAAAATCTACTTCCAAAAACACGTTTTAATCCCCAACACTAACCTCCGCGGTGTCAAACTTCCGGAATGCTCCTGTTTTGCACGGGAGTATCTTTGGGGAGTGGGAGTGCGACTCAAGCTACTAAAACAAAACTTCGGTTTACAAACACACAAATCGGTTCTAATAAAGTTAGAATAAACAATTATTATCTGGTCGGCTGTTTCCAATAGTTCTTGAGATTCCAACCACAGATTTCGCCAAATTGCATGATTTGACTCGTACAGAAGTTCATTCAAGGTGTTGTAGTTACTCTCCTCTCCCCTGATAGAAAATAGTTGCTGTACCCCCGACTATCAACAGGCAGATTGTCAGTCGGAAAAAGAACTTGAGCAAATATGCCGTATTCCTATAAAGCACTCGGTGTTGGCACAGGTTGCCCTCTCATCATCAAGTGATGTTTAATAGAGAGGAGACCCATTAAAGTTATAATTTTCTAGACTTGGGAACGTTCAAACATACAAACTGCCATTTTCTTCTTTCTGAACGAGTATCATCAAAACTCGCTCTCTTTATTTACACTATTCGAAAGGAAGTCATGGTGGTGCCTCATCATAGCACGTCAGTTACATGTGGTTGTCGATCGTCACTAACATGGTCGCATATGCTTCCACCATATTGGGTCTGTCCGTTCGATATGTCATGACGTCTCTAAAGTTGTCCGACAATCTTTCCAGCAATTCGTCAATCTCGACTCCTTTGTGGTAATGCAAGTGGGACACGTTTCTGATGAACTGCGAGTAGTACGTGGCAAAGTCACCTTTGCCTTGCCTCAGGGGGACGAGTTGGCAGTGTTTAGTACTTTGAGTGTTTAGTTCTCTAAATGAGCCTTCCATGTGGGCGACGAAGAAGGTGACGGAGGAAAAGAAGTCAGCAGGATTGGCGTTAACAAGTTGTATGACCTGATCAATGGCTCTTCCCTCCAAACAGGTGACCGCATGGATAACCTTTGCTGTCCCATTGCGGAAATGATTATGATTGACTTCGAGCTTCATTCGGAGTTGGGTAACAAATCCGGGGATTTTGGTCCGAATATCATCGAACTTTTCCCAGAACGTTTCAGACCCAAAGGTGGAGAAAGTGGTTGGTGCAGTAGCAGCGAAAATGGGGACAGGAACATTGGGGGCAGGGGCAGTGTGGTCAACATTGAGGTCAACGTTGACCTGTATTACTTGCTCTTCCAAGTAGTCAATGGTTTTGTGGGCGGTGGAGAGCAGTGTACGAGCACTATCCCTCTTGTGTCGGATGCTTTAAAATATAGTAGGGAGCTGGTCAAATAGGGCAGCAGTATTCTATTTGTACTGATGGTTAAACTGCTCGATTTTGTTAAATGAGATCCATGTAGGTCGGTTGGGGGTGGACATGGCGTATGGTGCGGATTACGACGCAACGTAATCCTATGGAGTTGGGTAGCGAGTGTTCCGCAGGGTACGGGAGATTGTCATAGAGGCTAGTAGGTTAATCAGCGAGAGGGGTTAGAGAAACTTTAGGACTAACGGTGGGAAAGTCGGAGAAGTGAGATGGCCTCCTTATAAAGGAAGAGAAAATAGTACTTGAATAGCAATAGCCAGCGTAGATTACCTAAGCCTTTGAGTACCAAAAGAAAGAAAAGAAAAGAGAGGGAAAGAGAATAAAATCGAGGGCAAAGCTCCTTAATATACATAAAGAAAGCTTGGCAATCACAAACCCCAAGTGACTCATACCCTTAAAATCGAAAGAATCTTCTAGAAATCCATAGAATTTTTCTGATCAATTCGACCCTTTGTAACCTACTATATTATTCAATCGATCCATGAAATCGGACAAGGTTTTAGGATCTGAATTGGGTTACACTGAGAACGCTCAAGCCATTGAGTGCTATACTGACCGCCAGTCAGCTCAAATATGACATTCTCAATCAAAAGCATTCATAATCCTAATTCTAAAGGCTTGGGGGAACTCGGGCGCATACTGTTAATAGGTAGGTGAGGTGGAACAGATGTTATCTTGCGGACATCGTCAAATTTCTACCCGTTTACAAAAATACAAAATATCAGGATACACGTTATGAAAACTGTTATCAATTAAAAACATGAGTTTTAGAGATAAGTGCTGAATATTGTTCATTCTCAAGTTCAGAATATGATCATAGATTGGATATATTTCAGAATGGATTGGAAAGCCGCAACCTCGTATTTTGGGAGAAGATATTTTGTAAACCATAGTGCAGTATTCAATCTATTCAATATTGATCCAGAACATGGTATACCAATCAAGCCATCAAATACATTGAGTATCAATTTGAGTATTTTACTGTGCCAATAAATATTTATAGCTTTCGAACCTTCATGAGCGATTGTAACAAATGAGAATTTGAATTTTTGATACGCTCGCTGTCCTGATACATACCCATCAAAGGACTGTAAATAATACAAGAGGTTTTGTTTGTCAACAACTATTAAATTTGCTGTTCTGATAAGAACGTATAAGTAAGAACCAATTATTAATGATATCAACCAATTTCACTGCTAATTATTGACTCGAATATTTTTCTGACAGGTATTGACTCCTATTTAGTATTGAAACATCATACAGAAAGCTTTTATTATCGGTATATACTTTACTTGCCATTCCGATTTGTATGCATACGTATCAAGCGATTGCCAAAAATCCTCACAAATTTTATTTACTATTCCTGATTTAAATTCTGTAACGACAAGTGTGCATACAAATCAAATCATAGCAAACCATACCAACAGGTCTCAATTGTAAACTCTGATGCACTTTCTGTTTCGATTGATATTTATACCTATCAAGCTATCACAAACAGTAGTAACCAATTTCACCATTAGTGTTTGCTTTACATGCTGTCCTAGTAGCCATGCATATCTGTCCAGCGATTCAATATTACTCAGTAGTGTCTAGAATAATAATATGAGACAGCTCGAAGACTGGTAATTGCAAGCTTCATGATTACGTATCGGAATTAGAATTTAGGACAGAATACTGAATTGACACTTTTCTATCTGTTTTTCTTCAGGTCGTTATGTTATTCTATTGGTACAAAATTCAATTTTCGGTCAAAATGAAATACATCAATGTGTATTTGGTGGTGGTTGGAACCTGGTTGTGGGTAGTTAGGGTTACGAACGTTGAAAGTTGATTTTGTTACGCGTACAATATACAATTTTCGGTAAAAATGAAATACTTGAATATGTATTTGGTGGTGGTTGAAGCCTAGTGGAAGCCAGTTAGGGTTATGAGCGTTGAACCTTGGTAAAGTATTGACCTAGAGTACAGAATCCGAGTTAAAGTAATCAAACACAGCTGAGACAATTAGTGGGATTCACCTAAAGCGGTAGCCCGGAGTTCAGAATGTGGAATTTATGTATTCCATTGAAGCAGATGATGGGGAAACGCGGCATCATTGAATTTCGAGCGTCGTTATGATCGTGAGCTCGAGACAGTGCATTCAGTGCCATACAGTCATCGATCGTTGTACCCGCCCAATGAGTGGCGGTGCTGGGAGTGAACCAAAACGGGTTGCCAAGACTCACAATCAGTTACCCTAATCAACAGCCTACAACCACCCACTCCGCCACTGCAATTACAACCACGACCCCCGGTGTGCACATACTTGATGATAGGAATGGACTCGGGTTGTCGTGTTCAACCTATAGCCATGGAGTCAGGAATGGTAAGGGGACAGTTCCCGGGCAACCTCAAAATCCTGTCCGACATTGCCCTACCAGACTGCAACAATACACAATATGGAATGTCGGTCATGGATCGTCACTCACATATTGGGTTGTAGGTATTACGCATTGCATAGTTTGAGATTGAAATCCAAATTAGTGTTAGAAAACAAACCTGATGCAAGGAGCGGGATTTGCCCAAGGCGGTAACCTGGAGTTCAAAATCCGAGTTAGCGTAAGAAGAAAAAGCGGAGACAAGTAGTGGGATTCGCCCGATGCAGTAAGCTGGAGTTCGGAATCCGAAATTTATGTATTCTATCGAAGCAGAGGATGGGGAAATACGGCATCATTGAATTCTGAGCGCCATCATTATCGTGGGATCGAGACGGTGCGTTCGGTACCATGCAGTCATCGATCGTTGTACCCGCCCAGTGAGTGGCGGTGCCGAGAGTGAACCAGGATGGATCGCCAAGACTCACAGTGAGTTACCCTACTCAACGGCCCCTAACCACCACCTCCGCCCATGCAATCACGACCTCGACCGCCTATGTATTTATACTCTGATGACGGGAATGGACTCGGGTTGTCCTGTTCAACCCATTACCACGAAGCCGGGAATTGTACTGCGACGGTTCTCGGGCAACCTGAAAATCCTGTCCGAGATTTCCCTATCAGTTGTTATCGACGTCACTATTGGTACCGTCCGAGCATCTCAGAGTGGGCCTGGAATATATAGATAATCAATATCATATATTGAAGCAAACATTGAGTACGAGCACCCTCGAGTGCTTCTATAGCATTCATGGATGCTCTTAGAAGCGCGATGAGCTCAAGGAAAATGTTGATCGTACTTGGTGTAAGAGCACTCCTCCCTTCCTTCAAGTTCATGAGAAGTTTCTAATCACCTTCAAGTTCTTCTCTACCTATCACTTCAAGTTCTCCATTGCTTTCACCATTACCTATTGAAATCTCATCATTCAAGTTCCTCTGTTTTCAAGCGATTCAACCTATTCAATCTTTATAAATAAGATGGTATTTCTCTCTCGAAATTCAATTCATTTCAGAACCACACTCATCACAGTGATGCATTAACATTATCGGACTTCAAACACCGCTCAAAGTACTCTCGGTAGCTCCAGGAACACAAATCAACTTCCCAACAAGAAGGATTTGCGTGACACAGACGAAGACGATAACGAAACGACCCAACCGAAAAACCAAGAAACACAAATGGTCCAGAAAATATAAGAAACATCAACGTTCCTCAGGTCGCAAATTGTTCAGCAAAACTATCAAATATATCTCAGATGAAATACCAGAAACACCCTCGAGGCAGTCGCCAGTGATTTCCGGGTCCACCCCAATGAACAATAGCTGAAAGCAAAACCCCGTACCTCCATCAATCGGGAGTGAACTCCGGACTCCGCCAAATACTAACCTAGCTCCATCAGACACTGAAGGGATCTCCTCGAGTAACTGGAGAGCATCCCTAACTGATTCCGACTCCTTTCCCGACTTTGGTTCCGAACTCTCTGAACCATACATAAGTGACAATCAAGAGCCAGCAACAGGCCCAGCAATAGGCCTACTAGTAGCAGTCTCCACTGCTTCATCAGAACGCACCAGTGCTTCACTAGAACCTCTTGCACGGATGACCGTACTTAGAGTTAGTGCAGCCCACCACCACCCGCTAGTGCTCTACGAAAGAACATTGCCTGGAAGATCATAGTCCCATGTCAAGTTCTCACGTGGTTCAAACCTACTGCAGTCCAGTCAATAGGCCCAGCAGCAATAGCCCCAGCAACAGGCCCAGCAGCCTCTACTACTCCCTCAGCAGCATCCGTCAGTATTCCACCGAAGGCTCTTGCACCGGAGACCCTTACATTCAAGCCTCGATGCTCCTCTCGGTTGTTTTCTAGTGCAAGCCCGTCCGAACTAAATGACCATCCCTCATCAGTACGAGAGAGATGAATCAAACCTGAGCTATCACCGATTGTCGAAGAGACATTTCCGATTGTCCAAGAAACATCCCCGAGTGTTCAAGAGACATCCTCGAGCTCGAGGGCATTTAAGATGACTTAAACAACCAAAGCGAAGATGACTCTAGATATACTCAACTTGCCTAAAGTTTACTCCCGCATCTACAACAGCCTAAAGGCGGGAATGCAAAATGTAGGTTGGATCAATAAAAACACCTCCGGATTGGCTGCGTTTAATGCCCTATGCCTTTACTTAATGAACCTGCCCTCCCTCAATGGTTTTCTGCCAATTTGGACTGGGGGTGATTGCGATACCAGTAGAGTACGAGCGAGTGCTCTACAGTTACTCACGGTGGATATTGGTATGAAGAATAAGTTATCAAAGGTATAGAGAGACCGTTAGTTAAAAGAGGCTGCCGGTCAGAGTGATGATCATGATGAAAGCGGTGGTCAGGCAGCCGGAGGACGCTCTCGCAAAGGAAAGAGCGTACAGTACCCTGTTACTTGTGCGACTTTCCATAATGGTTACCGTAGTCAACCCTGATTCTCTAGAGGCATTGTTTATCCTCGTGCCACCACCTACTTATGACTGGAATAATCCCCTGAACGAACCTTCGTTCAACGGAATTTTAACCAAGATAACTTTGCCCGAGTTATGCAACTTGATTTTGAAGTAGACTGCATCTGGCAGAGCAGTCAGGACTATCTGGCGGCAATTGAGAATGTCCTCCCGGCAGCTGTTCATCCCATTCAGCCGGTAAAGGTACAAATTACTGATTCAGAAGAACTGGAAGGTTAGTTGAAGAACAGTAATACCAGGCCTCAAAGGATATTGGCAGTCCGCCACAGAACAGCAGCAGATTCTAATCTGGGTGGTGTAGAATTCCCCCTGTTGAACCCAGCTTTTCCTCACATTGAGGAATATGATTATAGGATGATCGATATTCCTGCAGAGAATTCGGATTACGAGGAGGAGAAGCACGGGATAAATTCCAAAGGACTGAGGGTATATATGCCTAGAATTGATGCCAGTAATCAAAGGCTAATTCAGACTCTTATTAGGCGTCGCGATGGACAGCAGGATACTATCGACGATTTAGACACTAAATACTTTAGGAAGTATCCTTTGGGTGTCGGGGTTGCTGACCCAAACTTCTTACAGGGGACAATCTGGACACTTGCCGGGATAGTAGCCAAGAGAGCTGCTGACGCACTCACGGTTGCTGATGCACTTACAGCTGCTGACGTACTCATGGTTACTGATGCTGGAGGTAGTGGAGGTGGTAGAGGACCAGCTGGAGACGGTGGTGGTGGTAGAGGTGGTGGAGGTAGTGGGCCAGCTGGAGGTGGTGGAAATGATGGTAGTAGTGATGGTGGTGGGTATCAATAGTTCCCTTTGATATAATCTCTAACTTCCCTTCCTGCGGAATTGTCACTAACATTTTAATAGTTATTAGGATTACTCTCTGAGCACTCACAGTAGCTACTGGGATACGGTACGATTTGGTGTTTTGGATTTCCCTTTGTATATCAATGTATGGGTTATATCGGATAGAATTAGATTAGATTAGATTTGATAAGATTTGATTAGTCCAGGTAGTAATTGTATTGCTTTTATTTCAAAGTCGAATCAAACTCCTAGATTGATCTCAGGGCACTCGGTACCGCTTCAGAAAGTGCAGTAAAATAAGTGATGATAAATGATTCGGTTGAGTGCGGAAGTAATAGTAACACCGGATGATTCCTGCCATATAAATGTTTAGTGGCGCAAATTTTCTCGCTAAGAATTGATTTCTAACTGAAGATATCATGAGTGATTCTAGAGCACTGTAGATATTCCTACCAGTGATCAGAATAATTCCCACCAAACGCTCCTCCAGTTTAGCACCTCCTGCACCAAAGTGTCCATGACTTCCAACATGACCTGAACAAGCTGGAGAGACTAATGAGTTTGAGATATCCCACCGACCATTGACTCCACTGCCAGCCCGCACTCGGAGTAGTCAATCAATCACCGCCACCCAAATAACTCGGAAAGGTATTCTCCATTCTTCCGAAACCTCCACTGGGAGGAGCAGTGCTCAAAGGGTAGAATTTCATCTCCCCGAAGATCATACTGATAATTTTGAAGTGCAGGAGGACCCTGAGGCAATTGAGGCATCTGAGGCAGAATAAATAGTTGGTACTACCCAATCAGATTATGATAATGCTCCGGATAACAACCACGAGAGCTCTGAGGAGGATGAGGATGAGCTGGAGGAGGAATCTCAAGCCTCCCCCCCATCTCCCACCTAGAGGTCTCAGACTGTCAGAAAGAGACCTCATGCAGTTCAAGCAACCACTATCAGAGCAGTGGGCAATGCTCGGAGGAAACCAACTGCCGCGGTAGCGGAGGTCATTGCTTCTTCCGATGTATCAGTAGATATGGTACAGGTTTAACTGTATCTCCCTCATTAATGTTTTTTAACATGTAAGTATTAGTGGTTAACACTCAGAGGGGAACTTGATTTCATGGATCAGTTAGTTAATACACTGGATTACGAGGAGTTGGATTAGTCAGAAAGATTCTATTGAGTTCTATCGGGTTCTGTCGGTCGTAAGTGTGTGAGTCACTTTGGATTTGTCATCGCTGGGATTTCCTTGGGTATATTAGTAGGTTTCGTCCTTGTTTCTGTTCTCTTTCTCTTCTTTCTTTTGATATACTATGTCTTCTGTACCTACGCTGTCTATTACTAAATAATATTGTTTCCTTTTCTTTACTCAAGAATACTGCCGTTCAGCTGCTTTCCTTGTCCCGTTGACCCTTACCAATGCTAGAGTCCCTCAGGACCCCTATTGCAGACTCCTACACCGACCCCTACTGCCCCCTTCGTACCCTGCGGAATACTCGCTACTCGTTCCCTTGACACTCGACGGGGTGCGAAAGGAATACGTAAATAACGGAGAGCAGTAGCCACTTCAGCACCTAGTCAGAATGAATCTCAGGTAGCATCCACAGCATCTCGGAGAGTACCCCCAAAACCCTCACCGTCCAGGCCCTCTGCACCTGTTTATCCTCATGAGTATACCTCTCCTATGCGCCATATTGATTTTTCCTCGATGCCCTCTCGATACAGGGAGTCGTCCCCCACTTACCGGAAATATCATTCTTCACCAACTAGCGAGGGAATTGGCTAGCACTCTGTTAGCAGTTATCAGTTTCCTTCAAGCCAACTTCACGGTCAGGGTCGATCGCAAAGAGTCTACGAAATCGAGTACCTTCCCTCATCTAGATAGGAAGACGACAGAGCTCCGATGCCGGAAAGCGACAGTATTTGATACCGGAAAGCGAAATTAAAATTTTGGAAAATAGTCACGACATCTTTGAGAACACTGGCGACATTCCTTCTAGTCAATTGAGTCAGAGGTCTCTGGTCCCTCACTGTAGTAGTGCAAATGTGCTATCAGTGCAGGTTCAGAGAATTGAGAAGGAGTGTAATGTGTGAATCAGGGAGTATACTCTTCTATATGAGCCCTTTCCACCTGTAGCCAGACTTTCTGTACTGGTAGTGAGCATGTGGGCAACTGCAAGCCGCCGAGTAAGGTGTAGAGTATACCTTGCTGAGGTTGTTATTAAACAGTTGAGTGCCCCCAAAGGGTTTACGAGTGTTTTGGAAGCATAATTGAGAACGATAGGAAGAAGTCTGCACTCCCATATCCGTTCCCACTTGATACACGAAGTGAAATGGTGCCTGTCAGACTGTACGATATATGGGCTTGGGAATCTTGTGGGGCCTAAGGCAAAGGCGGCTCAAGTGGAATACCTTTTGAAGAATGATCATTTGTTGAGCCCCCAAGAGGATTACAAGGTATTATGGATGCTCAGAGGGCATTCAGAATAGCCGATGACAGATTCAAGATCCACCGAATGCACTTTATGTCTCCGGAAAATATCGATATATTGTATTTTAAATACTTCGATGGGGTAAAAGTGTGAAGGGTTAGGGATCCCGAATTTCTAGAGCGGATAACCTTTACCCTTATTTGCCTGATATCGATGGCGATCTGGCACGGCATTCGGGCATAGTCAACAGGGAGTTACTTGAAGACTGATAATTTTCAGTCGCAGAATTTGAGTGTTGTGAGTAAGTATGGCCCGATGCATTCATTGATATAGCGAGTGCCTTGGGAGCAATGGCGGATTTTCCTATGCCTATACGGGATTGCCGAGCTGACATCCAAAACTCGAGTAGAAATATTTAACAGTATTAGTAACACTTGGAAGGGGAGAAGTAAACAGAACCAGGAGGCCACTTTGGAGGTAATCAAAGATAATTTTCGAGAAAAGGTATGATACCTCTAGATGCTGGTAAAGCGAGTGGTATTCTAAATGCTAACCCTAATAGATACAAGATAAAACGAGGTAACTATTGAAGTGATACCGGAGGAGGATTTTAGCGAGGATGATGAAGCTCTGGCTGCGGATCTTGTCACATTCCAAATTGATTGGAGAATACCAATGAGTGCTACACGAGATCTGGTTGGTTCCGCCAGTGCCCAGGATAAAGTGATTAATGTCCAAGTTCACGGCATTGACACCGAAGAGGAGGGGGAGGAGGAAGATAGTGGGTGATTTGTTCTTTTCAGTATATTGTATTAGGGTTGGTTAAGGTGTTAAATAGCGTATTGTTTTAGTACTAGGCGGAGGATCATGATGTTGAATACACCAATTGTAAAAGTGCAGTCACAAGTGCTCTGGAGGCAGTAGAGATCGTTATTCGAGTGATATTTTGATAATCTCATAGGCAAATTATGAATACCAGAGGTTGGTACAGTGGAGATGTGTATGCCTGGAGAGCATGGGCCACCGATATATAGGAATCGGTACATTGGGTGAGAGCCAGGTTTCAAAGCACCCGATCCGGCAAAGTCAGAAGAAATCAGGGCAATTATTCTATCCCAGAGCCTGCTGCAGCAGTTGGGATGTTCCAGGAGCACTCGGGATATACCAACGAACAACTGGCATTTTCTGGTGACTGAACTGATGTCCGCATTGTGCCAAGCACTAGGATTAGGTGTCGGGGTGCGTTGT